CTCGACCCTCCGTGGCTGTTGGAGTTGTTTGCTGTTTTGGTCGCCAGGTGGTGTGGGCGTCATTGCCCTACCAGTTTTGTTGCCTGCCTGGCTGCGTTGACGTGGCAGTTCTGACATGGGGGGCCATCTTCCTCCTGTTCAGCGTGTGAACTCCGTGGGCCTGGAGTTTACTTGTAAGGCTGGTTATCCGACCATTGAGATGGTGATGTGTGACATGCTTCGTGTTCCGGTGGAAGCTGTTTACGGTGTGGAGCTAGTTTCGGCCCATCGGGTTGTTGTTAAGTTCGTGGGGGAGGACGAGTACCGGGACTTCCTCCGTCGGTACGAGGGGCGTACGTTGCCGTTGCCAGACGATGCCGGCTCTGTGGCGATTTCGGACCGCAGTGGTGCCCTGACTTATGTCAGTATCCATGGTGCGCCCCTGGAATTCCCTGATGACCTCCTCCGGCGTTACTTCGGGGGTTTTGGTACTGTTGTCAGCGTGCGGGTGAACACGCTCTCCTCGGGGCGGTATGCTGGGAGGCGTACAAACATTCGCACGTTGGGGATGCGCCTGCGGTCGGATATACCTTCTTCTGTCCGGCTTATGGGGTACTACGTCCGGGTGTATTATGCCCGGCAGCCTCGTACCTGTTTCCGGTGTGGCCTGTTGGGGCATCAGGCTGCCGGATGCTCTGAGGCCCCTGCTGCTCCTGTCAACTTGTTCCGCGACGAGGATTTCCCGCCGCTTCCTCTGGAGGCTGTCTCCGGTGATGTTGATGAGGTGGTGCGCGTCCCGTCTGCTGCTGCAGCTTCCCCGGCGGCGCCTGCCGTTCCTCCGGTTCTTGTCGTCCCTCCTCCGTTTGTTGCCGTCCCTCCTCCGGTTGTTGCCGTCCCTCCTCCGGTTCTTGAGGTACCGTCGGTTGGTCTGCCTGATCCTGTTGCTGTTCCAACTGCTCCCGTGGGCCTTCCTGGAGCTCCCTGTGTGACGTCGCTGTCTTCTCCCTCGTCTTCTGATGCTGCGCCTGGCCCTGTGTCCGTGACTCGGGTCCCGGATGTGCTTGGTGCTGGGGTGACTGCGGAGCCTCCTGCTGTGTGTGGCCCGGTTCCTCCTGTGGTAGAGGCTGCTGCCGTCCTGGCGTCGGTTCCTTCGGCTCGTGGTACCCGTGTTTCTGGGTCACTTACCGGCTCGGACGATATCCGGCCGGTGCCCAAACGTTCCCGGCGTTCGTCTTCTTCCTGGGCCGACGTTGGTGACTTCAGTGACTGTAGGGCTTCGGATGTTGACAGTGTGGATACGGATGCGTCGATGTCTCCGCGGTTCGTGGTGGCGGAGGTCCATGTGCCTGCTGGTGCTGGTGCCTGTGTCTCGGACGTGCCTTCGGTTCTTTCTCCGCCGGGGGACTCTCCGCAGTGGGGGGTGGTGGCTTCCGCTGCCAGGGATGGTGTGGACTCTGGTGCTGGGCGTGGCCTGGTGGTGACGTTACGGAAGGATGCGCGCCGTCCGGGTTCCCTGCTGTCGTCTGGTGGTGTGCCCGGGGCCGCGGGTACCCCTGTGGTGCGGGTGCGCGTTGGGGCCCTGGGGGACGTGTTGCCGGCGTCTGTGATGCCACCGGGTCACTGGTCGAAGATTGCCGAGTTACTGCTGTCTGACGGACCGGAGTGCTTTCGTGGGGGGCAAGTTCCCTTCCTGTGGGGGCGAGTGGCGACTTCTCGCCTCATGAGTTCTACCATCTGGGTCCCCAGTTTGCAGGTGTTTGTTGCCCCGGTTCCGGATGTTATGGCGTCCCCGGTGGATGGACGAGACCCTTGGCAATGGGTGCTCTGGGAGGCGTTCAATGTAAGATTCCCGCGGGCCAAGTTCCCGGGCAAGTATGTGCTCTGATTTCTTGTGTATTTGCTCTATGACATGCTGTGTGCCCTTCTGGCTGTTTGTTTGCCCTGTTCTGTTATGTGCTTCTGCCTCTCCCTTTGTGCGTAGCTTTGCCGTGTGGCATATTAGTTTCTAGTGCTTGGCGTCACTCGTTTCGCGTTTTGGCTTAGCATTTCGCCTTTCCTGGCTTTGCGATTCACCCTTCACGGGTACGCCGGGGCGCATCCGATCCCACGATCGTCGTCGCCCCTAACTCAACAACAACAACAACAATGTTGTTATAGATTCAGCTACTCCGAACAAGTTCCAAGCAGCACGGGCTATGGTGAGCCCGTAACTTACCTGGCACAGGAGCGGGGCAAGTAGCACGGGCTATGGTGAGCCCGTAGTGGACTTACCTGGCACAGGAGTGGTGCTGTTCGGTCTGTTTTGCACAAATACAAATAATCGCCAACAGAACCTAATCACCTAACCTAACCAGTGCCTAAATATGCACAATATGTTAATATAATATACAATAATATTAATTTATATTTGAGAAAATTATTGTTTTGAATGAACAGCATGTTACAATTGATGAATGCGTCTTTGGGGTCGACAGCTGGATGGAATGGACTTGGTCTGAGAACGGGTTGGTCTATTATAATAATGACTTGATTGTGACGATTTTAAGCTCCTAAACTGTTTAATACATACTAAATTATCAAAGCTAAGCTATCAAGGCAAAGTTATCAATACTAACTAAGTTATCAAGGAAAGATGTACATGTTTCGTAAGTGAACACTTAAGTAGTTGAGGACTGGTGGGCAAGTGGCGCAGCGGTCTCCCAGGCCAGACCAAGCCCAGGGGGAGGAGGCCAGGTAAGTGACCCACGCTACAAGTGCCGCTCGTGTATTTCAACACGGGAAATATTAGAAAACACTGAAGCCATGCAGTGGGCTCGAACGCGCGTCTCTGGACTCTCCAGGCACACGTATATCCTCTGTATTTTCTAATTTTGTATTTTCTAATGGCATCCAACACCTGACAATTGGGGCACCAAACACCTGACAACTGGGGCACCAAACACCTGATAATTGTGGCACCAAACACCTGACAACTGGAGCACCAAACACCTGACAACTGGAGCACCAAACACCTGACAACTGGGGCACCAAACACCTGACAACTGGGGCACCAAACACCTGACAACTGGGGCACCAAACACCTGACAACTGGAGCACCAAACACCTGACAACTGGAGCACCAAACACCTGACAACTGGGGCACCAAACACCTGACAACTGGGGCACCAAACACCTGACAACTGGGGCACCAAACACCTGACAACTGGAGCACCAAACACCTGACAACTGGAGCACCAAACACCTGACAACTGGGGCACCAAACACCTGACAACTGGAGCACCAAACACCTGACAACTGGGGCACCAAACACCTGACAACTGGGGCACCAAACACCTGACAACTGGAGCACCAAACACCTGACAACTGGAGCACCAAACACCTGACAACTGGGGCACCAAACACCTGACAACTGGGGCACCAAACACCTGACAACTGGGGCACCAAACACCTGACAACTGGGGCACCAAACACCTGACAACTGGGGCACCAAACACCTGACAACTGGAGCACCAAACACCTGACAACTGGAGCACCAAACACCTGACAACTGGGGCACCAAACACCTGACAACTGGAGCACCAAACACCTGACAACTGGGGCACCAAACACCTGACAACTGGGGCACCAAACACCTGACAACTGGGGCACCAAACACCTGACAACTGGGGCACCAAACACCTGACAACTGGGGCACCAAACACCTGACAACTGGAGCACCAAACACCTGACAACTGGGGCACCAAACACCTGACAACTGGGGCACCAAACACCTGACAACTGGGGCACCAAACACAAATCCCGACCCACTTTTAACCAGCACAAACTCATAAATTTCAACCCATGTTAGGGCATAAATATAATAATTTCAGCCAATATATTAGGAAAATTACATATTTATATTTGTGTAACATATTTGTTTATAATTAAAGTTGGTGAGTGTTGCTCAAACTACAAGTTCAGAAAAATTATGCAACCATCAATAAAGCTTGACATACATTCACTATAACAACTGTAAGTAATTAAAGGCTATATTCTATTTCTTGAAAAATTCTTAATTAGTTTAATGTGTCAATCATTAGTATGTCATCTATTGTCTCTGCTCTCACATGGGACTCTGGGACTGTCAGTCTCAATGATCATAATATATTGGTAAGACATCAACATCTCTATTTTTTAAGCTGTTTGGCGATGTATAAAGAACTAGGCTCCATCAATGAACCTATTATTTGTACACATGGTCAGGTAATCACCACAGCTATTCTGATCAACAACACCAAAGTAATTGAGATTCAACCACCATGGAAGATTATACGTAGACGAAGCACTACATGTTAGACACTCAACCAATCAAAATGGTACATTCTACTATTCCTCTAGACCAAGGCAGAATATCCAGCTGAATATTTCTCTGTCTCTTTTTCTCTGTCTCTCTCTCTCTCTCTCTCTCTCTCTCTCTCTCTCTCTCTCTCTCTCTCTCTCTCTCTCTCTCTCTCTCTCTCTCTCTCTCTCTCTCTCTCTCTCTCAGTCACTCATTCACTCGGTCACTCATTCACTTGTTCATTAAGTCACTCATTTATTCACACATTCACTCACTCATTCTTTCACTCACTCTCTTCCTCCTCCCCCCCCCCACACACACACACTTCGCTAAAACAACATTAAAATTACCGGAATACCATTGGGGCTCAACCTAATAAAAATGCTGCCATGTATGGTAATTGTGTTTTGTTTTATGTATCTTAGTGATACTCCTTTCATTAACAGCTTAGCACCATGACGGATTTTATGAGAAAAAGTCAGAATACTAATGGGTCGGGGTGTCAGGGGAGAGAGAGAGAGAGAGAGGGAGAGAGAGAGAGAGAGAGAGAGAGAGAGAGAGAGAGAGAGAGAGAGAGAGAGAGAGAGAGAGAGAGAGAGAGAGAGAGAGAGAGAGAGAGAGAGAGAGAGAAGGGGGGGGGGGGGGGAGAATATAAGGGTCTCATTATAAATGATAATGCAAAAGAAGTGAGAAGTGTTTGGACATGTTAATTCTGGTAGAGATAAAACGCATTTGTTTAAAGAAACACCCCTCAGTGTCGGATGAGGGCCCCTCAGTGTTGGATGAGGGCCCCTCAGTGTCGGATGAGGGCCCCTCAGTGTCGGATGAGGGCCCCTCAGTGTCGGATGAGGGCCCCTCAGTGTTGGATGAGGGCCCCTATGTGTCGGATGAGGGCCCCTCAGTGTTGGATGAGGGCCCCTCAGTGTCGGATGAGGGCCCCTCAGTGTTGGATGAGGACCCCTCAGTGTCGGATGAGGGCCCCTCAGTGTTGGATGAGGGCCCCTCAGTGTCGGATGAGGGCCCCTCAGTGTCGGATGAGGGCCCCTCAGTGTCGGATGAGGGCCCCTCAGTGTTGGATGAGGGCCCCTCAGTGTCGGATGAGGGCCCCTCAGTGTTGGATGAGGCCCCCTCAGTGTTGGATGAGGGCCCCTCAGTGTTGGATGAGGGCCCCTCAGTGTCGGATGAGGGCCCCTCAGTGTTGGATGAGGGCCCCTCAGTGTTGGATGAGGGCCCCTCAGTGTTGGATGAGGGCCCCTCAGTGTCGGATGAGGGCCCCTCAGTCTTGGATGAGGGCCCCTCAGTGTTGGATGAGGGCCCCTCAGTGTTGGATGAGGGCCCCTCAGTGTCGGATGAGGGCCCCTCAGTGTTGGATGAGGGCCCCTCAGTGTTGGATGAGGGCCCCTCAGTGTCGGATGAGGGCCCCTCAGTGTTGGATGAGGGCCCCTCAGTGTTGGATGAGGGCCCCTCAGTGTCGGATGAGGGCCCCTCAGTGTTGGATGAGGGCCCCTCAGTGTCGGATGAGGGCCCGTCAGTGTCGGATGAGGGCCCCTCAGTGTTGGATGAGGGCCCCTCAGTGTTGGATGAGGGCCCGTCAGTGTCGGATGAGGGCCCCTCAGTGTCGGATGAGGGCCCCTCAGTGTCGGATGAGGGCCCCTCAGTGTCGGATGAGGGCCCCTCAGTGTCGGATGAGGGCCCCTCAGTGTCGGATGAGGGCCCCTCAGTGTCGGATGAGGGCCCCTCAGTGTCGGATGAGGGCCCCTCAGTGTCGGATGAGGGCCCCTCAGTGTCGGATGAGGGCCCCTCAGTGTCGGATGAGGGCCCCTCAGTGTCGGATGAGGGCCCCTCAGTGTCGGATGAGGGCCCCTCAGTGTCGGATGAGGGCCCCTCAGTGTCGGATGAGGGCCCCTCAGTGTCGGATGAGGGCCTCTCAGTGTCGGATGAGGGCCCCTCAGTGTCGGATGAGGGCCCCTCAGTGTCGGATGAGGGCCCCTCAGTGTCGGATGAGGGCCCCTCAGTGTCGGATGAGGGCCCCTCAGTGTCGGATGAGGGCCCCTCAGTGTCGGATGAGGGCCCCTCAGTGTCGGATGAGGGCCCCTCAGTGTCGGATGAGGGCCCCTCAGTGTCGGATGAGGGCCCCTCAATGTTGGATGAGGGCCCCTCAATGTTGGATGAGGGCCCCTCAGTGTTGAATAAAACCCCGCTAATCCAACATTCATGGTCCCTCAATCTCTTTTTGAAGCTTCCGTACATCTTTTTCGAGGTGGTGACTGCGTCAGGGCTGAATTTCCCTCCGGAACTGAAAAATTAAATTTTTCTTCATTAAATTCTATCCTTTTTCAGTACAGGTGTGAAGCTTATTGATTTCTTCTTAAAGAGGATTCGAACCAAGGGTGTCAGGGGGTCTTTCCACCAACAGCACCGGTACCATGAATGCTATAAGTATTAGTTGGTTATAGACCTTATCTGCACAAGTTTCAAGAACAACCAACACGTCCTGGTTGGTTGAAAAACCCCCTGGGTCGGCCTCGGGAAACCCTCGTCTGTTCAGTAGGACTCCTGGTTACAATCCTTATACCATGTCGTGGCTGAGTAGGGCGTGTGAGTGGGAACACCCACCGCATAAGTTCGAATCCTCATCACGGCTCCTATGGATTTTCTCAATAATAATAATAATAATAATAATAATAATAATAATAATAATAATAATAAAGATTTACGCCGTATTAGATAAAAAATATTCCAAATCGGCTGATATATTTTGAGCGTGTGAAGGGACAGCCAAATTAAGTCCAGGGAATAAATTGAATTATCCCTGGTGTGGGTGTGGGTGTGCGTGCGGGAGTGAGTGTGGGTGTGCGTGTGGGTGTGCGTGTGCGTGTGGGTGTGGGTGTGGGTGCCTGGGCCACAAGCTGCTCTCCCCCCCCCCCCCCCCCCCCCCCCCCCACAGCGCCCACCAGCTAAGTCAAGCGTGAGGAATTATTTGGACGAGGCCTCCCATAAAGCCCTCCCTCTCCCTCACACCTCCCTCTCCCTCACACCTCCCTCACACCTCCCTCTCCCTCACACCTCCCTCACACCTCCCTCTCCCTCACACCTCCCTCTCCCTCACACCTCCCTCTCCCTCCCTCACACCTCCCTCACCCTCACACCTCCCTCTCCCTCACACCTCCCTCACCCTCACACCTCCCTCTCCCTCACACCACCCTCTCCCTCACACCTCCCTCTCCCTCACACCTCCCTCACACTCCACACGCACGAAATGAGAGAGAAAGGGAGACTGTAATATAATGAGAGAGGAAGAAGGTAGAAGGTAATAAAAGGAGAGAGGAAGGGAGAATACAATAAAGTGAGAGAGATGGAGAGAGAAATTGAACCAACCTGGAGATGCTGCACAACACACAGTACTCACGCCCCACAGCACCAGGACGCACAGTACTCACGCCCCACAGCACCACCACGCACAGTACTCACGCCCCACAGCACCACCACGCACAGTACTCACGCCCCACAGCACCACCACGCACAGTACTCACGCCCCACAGCACCACCACGCACAGTACTCACGCCCCACAGCACCACCACGCACAGTACTCACGCCCCACAGCACCACCACGCACAGTACTCACGCCCCACAGCACCACCACGCACAGTACTCACGCCCCACAGCACCACCACGCACAGTACTCACGCCCCACAGCACCACCACGCACAGTACTCACGCCCCACAGCACCACCACGCACAGTACTCACGCCCCACAGCACCACCACGCACAGTACTCACGCCCCACAGCACCAGGACGCACAGTACTCATGCACCACAGCACCAGGACGCACAGTACTCACGCCCCACAGCACAACCACGCACAGTACTCACGCCCCACAGCACCAGGACGCACAGTACTCACGCCCCACAGCACCACCACGCACAGTACTCACGCCCCACAGCACCAGGACGCACAGTACTCACGCCCCACAGCACCAGGACGCACAGTACTCACGCCCCACAGCACCAGGACGCACAGTACTCACGCCCCACAGCACCACCACGCACAGTACTCACCCACCAACAGCACCACCACACACCTATAAGAGTAAGCTGGCTGTTGGTAGTGACACGAGTGTTTAATATGTTGAGCTTCGGCTATGTCCAGACTCCTTTTTTAGGGTCGTGATATGTGTCGAATATATCGATATGCTACTGGGCACATGTCTTCAAATACAGATATAATCTCAGCTGCGACACCACAATATTGTAGGTATTAGCACTTGGATCTTAAGTCCCTGGAAACACAAACCGTAACTGTCTCTATTTTCCGCTTGTTACAACTTGTAATAAAGTTGTTACATCTTGGCTTAACGTGTTTATGACGTATTAGAACGTTGTTACAACTTGCTATATTGGTTGTTATAACTGGTTAGGAGGTGTTAAAACTTGCTCGAACGTTGTACCAACGTCGTAGTTTTAGCGTGTGTTTGGCGGGAAATCGCGAAAAATCGCGTCCAATCTCCTAGGAGATTGGACGCGATTTTTTTTTTTTTTTTTGAAAGAATATTTTAAACATAGTGGAAGACTCATATGGGGGATTCCGTGCCCAAGTTTTCCTTATTTGAGTGTACTGGTCCATTCTCCCCTTCAATCCCTTCTCTCTTTTCCTCTTTTTCCCCCTCACTCTGAGCTTCCTCTCCCCTCTCCTCTTAGTTTGTATCTGTTCTATCCCACACTGTCTGCTGTTATCTTGATTCTCTTTTCTTATCCTTTCTGTCAGCTCTATTCTCTTTCAGTAGCATCTTTCTACCTTCTCTCCCCCTTTTCCTGTCTATCTTCCATTCCTTCCCCTCTCTTCAGCATCCACTCTCTTCTCTCTCTAACCCCCGTGATAACCTGTTGATGCAAGGAATGGTCAACCTCGGTCAATTTGCCCGCAGCTCTTCAATGTTGTCTTTAAGCTGGCAGGGCAGACGAGGTGGCTCAGAGTATGGCAGGGTAGAATTGCCACAAGGAATGGCAGGGTAGATGAGTTGACACAGGGTAGATGAGTTGACACAGGGTAGACGTAGCGAGGTAGACGTGGCAACTCAGGTCATGGCATTAAGGTAGATGAAGCAGAAGGCAGACGTTGTACGTGTCTTGTCTCGTAAAGGTCTGTGCCAAGTTGTATGGTGGTCAAGTTGTATGGTGGTCAAGTTGTATGGTGGTCAAGTTGTATGGTGATCAAGTTGTATGGTGGTCAAGTTGCATGGTGGTCAAGTTGTATGGTGATCAAGTTGTATGGTGGTCAAGTTGCATGGTGGTCAAGTTGTATGGTGATCAAGTTGTATGGTGGTCAAGTTGCATGGTGGTCAAGTTGTATGGTGATCAAGTTGTTTGGTGATCAAGTTGCATGGTGGTCAAGTTGTATGGTGGTCAAGTTGTATGGTGATCAAGTTGCATGGTGGTCAAGTTGTATGGTGATCAAGTTGTATGGTGATCAAGTTGTATGGTGATCAAGTTGTATGGTGGTCAAGTTGTATGGTGATCAAGTTGCATGGTGGTCAAGTTGTATGGTGATCAAGTTGCATGGTGACCAAGTTGTATGGTGATCAAGTTGCATGGTGATCAAGTTGTATGGTGATCAAGTTGCATGGTGATCAAGTTGCATGGTGATCAAGTTGCATGGTGGTCAAGTTGTATGGTGGTCAAGTTGTATGGTGATCAAGTTGCATGGTGGTCAAGTTGTATGGTGATCAAGTTGCATGGTGACCAAGTTGTATGGTGATCAAGTTGCATGGTGACCAAGTTGTATGGTGATCAAGTTGCATGGTGGTCAAGTTGTATGGTGATCAAGTTGTATGGTGGCCAAGTTGTATGGTGATCAAGTTGCATGGTGACCAAGTTGTATGGTGATCAAGTTGCATGGTGGTCAAGTTGTATGGTGGCCAAGTTGTATGGTGACCAAGTTGCATGGTGGTCAAGTTGTATGGTGGCCAAGTTGTATGGTGACCAAGTTGTATGGTGACCAAGTTGTATGGTGGTCAAGTTGTATGGTGATCAAGTTGCATGGTGGTCAAGTTGTATGGTGATCAAGTTGTATGGTGATCAAGTTGTATGGTGATCAAGTTGTATGGTGGTCAAGTTGTATGGTGATCAAGTTGCATGGTGGTCAAGTTGTATGGTGATCAAGTTGCATGGTGACCAAGTTGTATGGTGATCAAGTTGCATGGTGATCAAGTTGTATGGTGATCAAGTTGCATGGTGATCAAGTTGCATGGTGATCAAGTTGCATGGTGGTCAAGTTGTATGGTGGTCAAGTTGTATGGTGATCAAGTTGCATGGTGGTCAAGTTGTATGGTGATCAAGTTGCATGGTGACCAAGTTGTATGGTGATCAAGTTGCATGGTGACCAAGTTGTATGGTGATCAAGTTGCATGGTGGTCAAGTTGTATGGTGATTAAGTTGTATGGTGGCCAAGTTGTATGGTGATCAAGTTGCATGGTGACCAAGTTGTATGGTGATCAAGTTGCATGGTGGTCAAGTTGTATGGTGGCCAAGTTGTATGGTGACCAAGTTGCATGGTGGTCAAGTTGTATGGTGGCCAAGTTGTATGGTGACCAAGTTGTATGGTGACCAAGTTGTATGGTGGTCAAGTTGTATGGTGGCCAAGTTGTATGGTGACCAAGTTGTATGGTGGTCAAGTTGCATGGTGACCAAGTTGTATGGTGATCAAGTTGCATGGTGGTCAAGTTGTATGGTGGCCAAGTTGTATGGTGACCAAGTTGTATGGTGACCAAGTTGTATGGTGACCAAGTTGTATGGTGGTCAAGTTGTATGGTGACCAAGTTGTATGGTGATCAAGTTGTATGGTGACCAAGTTGTATGGTGGTCAAGTTGTATGGTGACCAAGTTGTATGGTGGTCAAGTTGTATGGTGGTCAAGTTGTATGGTGACCAAGTTGCATGGTGGTCAAGTTGTATGGTGGCCAAGTTGTATGGTGACCAAGTTGTATGGTGATCAAGTTGTATGGTGACCAAGTTGTATGGTGATCAAGTTGTATGGTGACCAAGTTGTATGGTGGTCAAGTTGTATGGTGATCAAGTTGCATGGTGGTCAAGTTGTATGGTGACCAAGTTGTATGGTGGTCAAGTTGTATGGTGGTCAGGTTGTATGGTGACCAAGTTGCATGGTGGTCAAGTTGTATGGTGGCCAAGTTGTATGGTGACCAAGTTGTATGGTGACCAAGTCGCATGGTGGTCAAGTTGCATGGTGGTCAAGTTGTATGGTGGTCAAGTTGTATGGTGACCAAGTTGCATGGTGGTCAAGTTGTATGGTGG